AGAGAACAGGAGTCTCGCTGTCTTCGTTGTGCTCTTACCTGTCCTGCTTGTGCAGTCCCCCCATCCGATAACTTTCCTCTTGTAACCACTAAATATAGCACATTAAGGAAAGTTTGGGCGAGGTAGCGTGCAACTGTTCGTGCGCTGGGAGGCTGCAAGCGGCAGTGGGAGGCCCTACAGCCCGGATTCCAGCCCTGACTTCCCAGGGAAAAGCTGCCAGATGAGAGAAGCAAGTAAGCCACATCTGGGAGCCGCCAGCCGCCCTAGCACCCACCCCCTCCCCCACACACGCATCCGAGTACCTTCCTATTCTCTATACTTGCCATAGAAAGTCCTGGGAGCACGTCCTCTTTCTTCAGGGCACACGAGGAGAAAATTAGAGTGTGGGGCAGAAAAAGTCCTCAGCACGTGGAACCCACAGGCGGCAAATGAAGAGGCACAGCCACAGCGTGTGGCAGGCTCTGGGTGTGTGCTCGCAAACTGCCTGGGACTGCAGTGCGGAGCGAGAGGCAAAGTGTGGAAAAGATCAGAGCAGCCTTTTGGTACTCACTCTGGTCAGTGAATGAGCTTCCTCTGTTCCTCAGAGGCTCAGGGGAGGAAACGCGCACGCGCAGTTTCTTTCTTATTGGCAGGCTCAGATACGGAATACGTCAGGACACCTGAGGACTCTGGGAAATGGAGTCCAGAATGGGGCATCTGGCCCTCCCCAGGAGCTTCAGAAGGATTTTGCTTTTGTTTACATCCCTCCTCTTTCTTCTCACCTCAAAATCTCAAGGATCAGTTGGTGTTCTTCCTTTCCTGAACAAAAATCTTAAAGAGTGACACCCGCTGCTGCTAACTGATACCCAAACTTTTGCTCCTTTATAAACTCTATTCTTCTGAGAAAGTCTTATTTGCTGCTTTGTCCCTGGAAATTTCTCTCAGGTAATAAACAACGATGAATACAATACAACTTTCAGCAAAGATGTAGAAGGCATAGTTTAGCATCAAAATTTGAAAATACAATTTTTATTTGTGTTTGATTGGTGTTTATATTTCTTTTTTAAAGATTTTTACGTATTTGTTTGAAAGGCAGAGTTACTGAGAGGCAGAGCCAGAAAGAGGTCTTCCTTCCACTGATTTACTTCCCAAATGGCTGCAGTGGCTGGAGCTGAACCTATCTGAAGCAGGAGTATCTTCCAGGTTTCCCACATGGGTGCAGGGGCCCAAGTACTTGGGCCATCTTCCTCTGCTTTGCCAGGCCATAGCAGAGAAATCGATAGGAACTGGAGCAGCCTGGACTCAAACCAGTGCCCATATGGAATGCTGGCACTGCAGACAGTGGTTTTACCTACTACGCCACAGTGCCAGCCTCTATAGTTCTTTTCAAATTATTTTTCACCATCTTTTAACTCACCAAGCACAGAAACAAACAGCAGAACTGGATACAGAACTAACATTGTTGAGTGTCTTATAGGAGCCAGGTTAAGGAACTAAATACCTTACATCATATCATTTATACCTTAGATTAATTCTGGAGACAGTAACATCAGGAGTTTACAAAGAAGAAACTGAGGTGCAAAGAGTTTAGCATTTACTCATGGTGATATCACTAAAAGGTCTGGGTTAAAGGTCAACCAAAATCTAATACTGGTTTAGGAAATCTTTCTTTCGTCTTGGGGCTCAGTTTCTAAAACCCTAGATTTCTCATCTGGAAAAACACTGAGAAACAGGAAAAGTACCTACAAAAATAATCTACACTGTAGAGAACCACCAACAATTATAACTTATAATTTGTCTAAAAAAGGAAGGAGATTCAAAGTTGCTATTATTCCATGGTTTTTTAGGTTTAATATCAAGAAAGCATGTAAATATTAAGTATTCTTAAGTATATGTGTTTTTTTTTTAGTTTTTAATAAAAATATAAGTAGATAACTGGATGACATTGAGTTCTATGTTTATGATTACTTCTGTCAATTATAGTTCATGGGGTTAGGTTGTTGCTAGATTAGGAATGCTTAAATTTTTATCCATTTACTTCACACTAGTATTTATTACATCAGGCAATATTCTTTCAGTAGATTCCTCTTTCTTGCCAAATTGAAAATTTCTTGAGGACAAGAAACATGCTTGCACTGATATTGTAACTCAGCATCTTGACAGTCTCTTAGCTGCATGAATAGTTGAAAATAATGGGATTAAACATGACAATAGGTCTGATCTGATTTCATCATCATTTAAAAAATCATCTATTATTTTTCACTTTATGTTTCTGTGTGGGAGCAAACTGTTGAAATCTTTACTTAATGTATGCTAAACTGATCTTCTGTATATAAAGAGAATCGAAAATGAATCTTGATGTGAATAGAAGGGGAGAGGGAGTGGGAAAGGGGAGGGTTGTGGGTGGGAGGGACGTTATGGGGGGGAAGCCATTGTAATCCATAAGCCGTACTTTGGAAATTTATATTCATTAAATAAAAGTTAAAAAAAACTATTAGAAATAACTCTAAGTAAAAATATGCCATGGATACACAATATAAATAAGTGTAAGTTGAACATGTATAATGTAAAGTGTGGGAGACAATATAGAAGTACAATTTTTGTGTGCAGTTGAGGTTAACTTGATATTGAATTAAAACAGACTGTTGAAAGTAAAAAAAAAAAAAAAGAAAAAAGAAAATATAAAAAATAAACAAATGAGATTTCTGACCTCCAAGAATCGTCTAGTAGAGGATTCAAGAAACTAAAATTCTATTTAATGACTGCCACAATTGGATGGATATAAAATTTGTTGTTCTGATACAAATTTGATCATAAAAGGAGCATATAAATCACTACACAGGGTCGAAGTGTATAAACAGAGACCATCCAGGGCCACACAGGTTAAATGTTCATCCTAGCTATGTAAGGCTTTCTATTTATTTATTTAATAAGCATTTTTGAGCAATCTTTTGTGTGGTGTGTTGATAGAACTACCAGACACCTGATTTCCTTAGAAATTGGAGTAAGAAACACTGAGCAACCAAATACAGGCAGAGAGAGTGGGCTGAATCACAAAAGGTTTTGAACACAAAAGTAAAAAGACAAAAGGCAAGGAAGTCAGTTAAAGAGTCTATTACAGGGGCCAGAGCCCATGGCTCACTTGGTTAATCTTCCGCCTGCGGCACTGGCATCCCATGTGGGTGCCCGATTCTAGTCCCAGTTACTCCTCTTCCAGTCCAGCTCTCTACTGTGGCCCAGAAGGGCAGTGGAGGATGGCCCAAGTGCTTGGGCTCCTGCACCTGCATGGGAGACAAGGAAGAAGCACCAGGCTCCTGGCTTCAGATCAGAGCAGCACCGGCTGTAGCAGCCATTTGGGGAGTGAACCAATGGAAAGAAGACCTTTTTCTCACTCTCTCACTGTCTATAACTACCTGTCAAAAAAAAAAAAAAGAGTCTATTACAGGTGCAAGTTGTCTGATGCATAACAAATCATCCCAGCCAGATGAATCAATTAATTTACAAGCTTTTATTGGAATTCCACTCACAGGCGAGGTTCATCAGTCCCAACAGAGCGGGGGCCGAGGAAGTCACTTGTCAGAGGTTGGGAGGGCTCCTTTTGTAGATACAGGGTGTGGGGGTTAAAGGTTGAGGCAGGTCTGACCCTCACTGGTTGACCTTTAGGCACCCACAGGGACCTTGACAAGGACTTTTTGTTCCCAGAAGTATGGGTAGGGACTCTCCATTCCCAGAAGTGTGAACCTTTTCTCCTGCAGATCCCAAAGCTATCAACAGGTAATTTAGTAGGACCTGCACCAAGTGTGAATGAAGAAGAGGCAAAACATTACAGTGAGATCTAAAAGGTAGAATCAATAGTATTTCAATGCTCAAATATGGTAGATGAAGGCAGAAGGAAACTCCTGTGTAAATCTTAAATTAGATTTTATTATTTAAAGTACAAGGAGCTCTCAGTGCATAATGCTCATCAATAATAAATATCTACCTCCAATCAACTTATAGAGTTCCCATAAAACCAGGCCACAATCCCATAGGTTGATGCAATGTCAATCATCAAGCCAATCATTTTTAACTGCTACCATATATAATAGTCCTTATTATGATGCAGTTACTTAGAAACTAGAAGACATAATAAGTGTGTATAAGAACAATCTAAATAAAAAAGTTAAATTAAAAAACCCACAAAATTATAATCACTCAAAGCTGAATTTGGCATACCTCACTAATTCACAGTTCATGTATCCACCAACCTCAGGTACTCAATGTCAATGAAGCAGAAAATAAGTAAAAATTTTCCCAGAATAGCCAAAATATGCATTATAAAGTCCAAATGAGGTGTCATGCCACTGGGTCAACATCATGACTCCTAAGTAAATTCACTGTGTCTTGGCTACTCTGGTGGGAGTGGATGTTCACAGCAATAGCTGTGAACAGTAAGTGAAAAGGGTTCCAACAACAGTGCTGCAGAGCTCCATGGGCCTTAACTAATGTAATATTCAGGCAACCATTTTTTTTTAATTTCTAGGAGACTGCCATGCTCTCACTTGTCATGGAACCATAAGAACTGAGCACAATCAGAGCATTCAAGGCCAGCATCCAAAATTCACTTAATGTTAATGGAGCACAGTCACTTGGCTTCACGGATACAAGTAAGCCTCACTCACTTGCTATGTCATTCTATCATTCTGTTTGGAGCCATTGGAGCTGGAGAGCACATGGAGCCAGGAGCATGGTGTGTGGGTGTCTCATGGTAGTGGTAAGTGTGCAGAGGGAGGGGTGGTGGAGGAGAAAATGAGCAAGAGCCCCTAGCACTGTGGGAGTGAGGAACTGAGGAGGGAGGAAGACGGGAGTGACTTTTCTGCATTATGTCTGATACTTCCCTGGATATAATTGATACAACATGAAAGATGTGTATATAATGCTTAATATAAAGGCAACTACACTCCTGGGGGACAGATGACAAGGACATAAACAATTACAAAAGAATGTGAAAAAAGCTGTAGGTGCACAATAGAATCACTTACATCATTTGTGGATGCTATCCCCATGACAGGCAGGAAACATTGGATTAAGGTCAGATTTGAGAGGTGGCAGAGCCCAGAAATGATACCATTATCTGAAATGAAGATAGACATATGGTATATAGAGGCTTGGTAACTTAAGCTGGGCCAGAACATGGATCCTAACTGAGAGGCTGTCAAACCTATCATTAACCTGGACAAGTCTGAGCTCTCCAAGCTTCTATCCTGGTTCCCATGTCTTTGCAGAGAAGAGAGGCATTACCAAGAAAGAGAAACTCATATCTGTCTTTGGCTGATTAGAGGGACTGTGGGAGTTCCCTATATTTGAGGCAAGAATCTTTTTACCCAGAGGTTTTCTCTTTAGTAAGAAGGCTCTTTTCTAACATTTTCTTCTTAGCATAAACCTCTCCTACAACCAGATCTCCACAGGTCCACATCAGAGGACAGATGATAATGACGTATTGAGTGAACAGAATACTGAGGTGTCATCTAAATAGAAGACTCATTTTATGAGTCAAAACTTACTTTATGGTATACTTCAAGATGATGAAACTGAGGGGATTTTGGTCATGCTCAACCTTACAGTCTGCCTTAAAAAAGAACAAAAAAGAAAGAAAGAAAAAAATACCTTTCAGAGCTAAACCCACTAGAATCCGTTGGTCAAAGGATCCAGCAGGAGCCTCAGAGGCTGGTCTCATCACACATTTGCCCATGGGGAGGCAGGGCACAGAAGGCATGAAGGTTTATTGTGGGTTGTGGCCTTGTGATGCTGACTGCAGCTGAAGCTACACTAGGAATGAGTGGTAGGCAGCAGTTTAAGCTATCCCTGCCTCTGTCTGGCCAGCACCACAGTATACATGGACCAAGCCTGCACCTGGAGTGCCTGCTGAGGCCATCAGATACATGGAGACCTGAAGTTAGAGGAAGTCTGAAGCACTGCCACAACAAGGTTGGAGATTGCCATAGCAACAGCATTTTCAGGGGGTGATGTGGCAGGGGCAGTCCTGGGAAGGTGGGCTGGTCTCCTGATCCTATGTCCTTCCTCTTATGCTCCTCTAAACTTAGCTGAGCCTGGGTTGAGCCCAACACCTGGGTGGGTAATGCTGAGAGGCCACCAGATGAGATTCTGGTTAATGTATGCAGGTTGTGAGTCACAGTGCAAAGAGTATGTGCAACATTGGGTGTTGACCAATGTGCTCACCCACAAGCATGATCTGAGTGAGGGTCTGACACAGAGAGAATATGGCATGGGGTTTTCAAGACAGACTAGTGAGTGAGTGAACAGGCTGACTTCTTACCTAGGACTACTAGAGAAGGGTGGAGAGGTTTGCAGTCTAGAAACAGAGCAAAGAGGTAGCAGTTAGTACATCCCATTTGCCCCTTCCCCAAGATGCACACCCAAGGTTAGCAGCTGACTTCTTCTTAAATCTGAATTGGTAGTAGTAGTAATGTTTGAAGTTGTGAATGAAGGGACTAAATGTGGCTAACATTCTGCTTGTCTTTCCTGCAAAAGATCCAGCAAATAATATTTCCTTAAAACAAAATAGGCATGCACATAGTGTGAGGTTTTACTGAGAGTTCTTTCAAAGTATAAGTACTCCTTGCAGACTTGAAAGATGTTATATGTGTGGCCCTTCATTGGGGATTTGTAGTTTCATCATTTGGGCTGGATTTTGCCTCTGGTGGTGTACAAAACTGTCTCTATTACAGTCTTTGACCACTCTTATTGCATTTACCTTTGTTAGTCATTTCCTCAGGTTCCCAGCTGAAAGGCAGCAAACATGAATCTCTTTAGCTAAATACTGAAATCTAGCTGAACTGCAATAGATTGTGACTGGCCAAATTTTCATTATTAACTTTCTACCAGAAATTGCCTTCATCAAAGTCTGCTTTATTCTGACTTTTTCATGCACAGTGATGGAGTAAGGACAAAAAGCTTTAAATCCATGTTAACCTCTTACTTACATAACAAATAGTCCCCTGTTTCTCTACCTTGCTAATACATCCCCACCCTACATTGACTAGTCCTGCCCTAACTGGACTATTAGACACAGCACTATCTGAAGACTCTATCAGTCTGAGAGCTCTCCAACTCCTCTCAAGCTGTCTTCCCCTTCTCAGAAGCTCAGCTTCACAGTCCAGCCTCAGTCTAAACCCCTCATATCTCACACTGTTATCTCAAAGGACCTTTAACACTAGCCCAAACCCTCCCTCTGTCTCAGCAGCCCAGCTTTAGCTCAAACCTCCAAGTCCCTTCCAGCCCCTTTGTATTATATAAACCACTAGTCTGTAAGGGAGGGTGTTCTCCCTCTGCTATGTGTTCACTGGCAACTCTCTCCCATGAGTTTACCTGGGAGGGAGCCCCTCCCAGATTTTATTCTTCCAAATAAAACTGGTCTGACTATGGCTTTATGTTTTCTCCTCTTTCTAACACACAGCATCTCTTGTTTTGTGGACTTGTGTTTGGAGATTTAAGTATACTACCTCAATCTCCTACAATTTAAAAGCCAATTTATAAACAAGGACTTGGAATGTTGTGATCTTAGAAACCCTCTTGGCTACTTTTATTGGGAGGTGGGTGTCAGGAAGGGAGTTGCTGGGAAGAGATTGATGAGGTTTCCTTTATGAATTCTGGGTGTTTCACTAAAGCTTTTAACACTTTGGTGATTTAAGCTCTTCAGATTAAAAGCTCATTAACAATTCCTACTCAAAGATGCTGAAAATAATCAGCTATCTAGGTCATAGACCTCTGCTAAGTGTTCTTTCTCCAATTTGAAATTTCTAAAGAGGACTTCATTTAATGTTTTAAGAGTGAAGTTTTCAGGAAGAGAAGACAAAGAACTACCCTTTTTTCCTTTACATAGCAGAATTTAGTTGTGAGAAGTAAGAGGAGTGTGGAATCCAGGGACTGTTGATATTGGGAGGCCTGACCTCCTAATGGCTACTCCCATGATTTCCTACAGCTTTTCCATGTGAGTGAAATCAGATGAGAAAGGATAATGTACAAGCAAGAGGACTCTGGCCATCAATATGTTGTCCATATTAGAGACTAGGGTGCAAGAGGAGTCTTCAAGAATTCGATTAAAAATGTGTATCAGGGAAAAACTAGATACTGATTTTCAAAACTTGTACCAACATTATCTTACTTTTTAACTCCATTTCTCCTATGAACTTTTAAAAATCCTTTTGGATATAGTTTACACTATGTGAGGTCTAGATCACTCAGGATACAAGACACATTTTTATGTTTGAGGCTGTATCATGTGTTGATTGGGCTTATGGGCTCAGAGTATGGGAACTCAAGTGTGGCCCACTGGACTTAACTTGATGGGACAACAGTAGTAATAATGGCAAGCTAGTACTGAGTCATTACATGCCAGATATGGCTCTTAGCATTTTAAATGTATTGCCCCATTCCATTCTTGCTTAAGCTGTAGGCATCATTATTGTCATAATTTTACAGGTGAAGAACAGAGATTGCACAAGATGCTATCGTTAAGAAGTGCCAAAGCTGGGCTGGCCCTGTGGTGCAGTGGGTTAACGCACTGGCCTGAAGTGCCAGCATCCCATATGGGCACCGGTTCAAGTCCCCGCTGCTTCCACTTCCCATCCAGCTCTCTGCTATGGCCTGAGAAAACAGTACAAGATGGCCCAAGCCCTTGGGCCCCTGCACCCATATGGGAGACCTGGAAGAAGCTCCTGGCTCCTGGCTTCTGATCAGCACAGCTCCAGCTTTTGCGGACAATTGGGGGTGAGAGGCCTCTCTCTGCCTCTTCTCTCTCTGTGTAACTCTTTCAAATAAATAAATAAATCTTTAAAAAAAAAAAAAAAGAAGTAGCAAAGCCAACATTCAAACCTGGAAGGATTCCTTAATGATGATGCTTAGTTTTAGTTGGATGTGTCAGAGTCTGGCTGATTGTACATATTCTGTATACTCTCTGCACAATGGAGAAGGTTAAGACTTTCAGAAGTCATTATACATGACCTAAATTGATGGAGCTAGAGAAGAATTTGAGGGCCAAAGGACTTCTTACCCCACCTTGAATGAGAATTCTAAGAATCCTGGTGTCTCCCATATCAGCCAACTTCCAGGAGTGGGTGATGTACAGAGGTATATTGCATTCTGTCTTTCAAAGGGATATTGGTCATTTGCCTCTCCTAGAGATTCCATAGTGAAACACAAGGCAGCCTTTGTCTTCCCAGGGATTTTTGGCTAAACTTTTGGAGAGACTGTAAAGCAATGGAGAAAACAAATGCTGTGCTTGGTAGGACCTAGGAAGAATTTAACATAATTTTTGGCCTTAGTATCATTGAATCCCCATGAGCTTTCACTAGAGGAAACATACTTTGAGGACTCACATTAGCACATAACACATAGTCAATATGCAAGTGGGTGTGGCTAATCCAGTATGGCAGGAGAGAGCTGGGGAGAGAAATGATACTTGTCCTTGTGTATTCCCTTCAGGTAGTAGTGAGCTATTTGCCTTTGAACATGCTATGGACTTAACTGGATACTGTTCCCTCTACTCCAGGTGGAAGCAGCCAGATGCCCACTTGCTTCCATTTAGAGATAAGCCTTTGGGTTTGTTGCAATGAGGCCATTTCTTTCTTTATTTATTTTTTATAACTTGGAATGACATGATTTTAATTAGTTTTGAGCAATGCAGTAAATGAATGACATTGAATTAGTTCGAAAGAGAAAAGTGAGAGGAAAAAGTTTAAAGAACAGTTTTTTGCTATAATTCTTTTATAGTTGACATTGAAGTATGTTTCTAGAATAAAAAAGGTAAGGGAATATTGCCTATGATGAACTGAAAAAGCAATAACTTCATTATAGTCTTATCAGCTGAAAATAGAGAACTTTAAACATTATTTTTTATTGCTTATATAAATTAGCTTTCACTTAGATACTTTATTTTTTTAATGACTTGCAAGGTTTCTTCTTTTTTTTAAATATTTATTTATTTGAAATTCAGAGTTACACAGAGAGAAGGAGAGTCACAGAAAGAGAGAGAGAGAGGTCTTCCATCTGTTGGTTCACTCCCCAGTTGGCCACAAATCTTCCTTCCGATGGTTCACTCCTCAGATGGCCTCA